GGAGCCTCTTAGGCCTTGGTTTCTACAAACATATCAAAATAGTGGACCCAATTCAGGCTACTGAGTTTGACCACTATAGATTATACCTGATATTCTATACAACGGAAGAAATAAAATATACTAAATCCTGGATAGGCAGTTCTATTAAGAGTGGGGCAATAACTGTAACTCAACCTTGACTATGGGAAAGTGTTGAGACATGCTATAATCTCTTCTAAATTAAGAGAATAGTTGAGTAATAGATGGGAAATTGAAGGTGCTTCCCCAGTGGGAGACGAAGAAAGATCCTGGACGAAGATGTTTCCTTCCCCCCCACACACACACCTAGAAGCAAGGAAAGCACTCACATGGTGGTCAGAAGAAGAGATACAAGGACATTCTTGTGTCTCTGAAGAACTCTGGAATTGATTGCATGACATGGGAGATTCTGGCAAAGGACCACCCAACATGGCATGCCCACATCAAAGAAGGCCACTGTGCTCTATGACCAAAGTAGAATTAAAGTAGCTCAAAAGAAATTCAAGATGTACAAATTTAGAGAATTCACCCCAAATGTCCACATGAATTAATTGTGCCCTATCTGTGGGACAGCCTTCTGAGCTTGTATTGATCTAATCAGTTGGTTGGACACACTATAACCTGACTCTAACATAGTGATGTCATTTTGGTCCTTTTCAAGAACGAAGGACAACAACCATTAGTACACCCAGAAGGCCTGAGATTTTCATTCAAATGGAGCAAGAAAAATCGCAAGAGGATAAGTACCATATATTTACACCGGATATTTACTTAAAGATTTCAGCATGGTGAACTTATGCTATTCATTGCTTGGTCTATTTGGTAAATTGAGAAAACAGATTTAGTAATAAAAGTTTTATGTGCTTGTTTCTTCAATACCATAATTCCATGTTAATCAATTGAGTTCTAAGGTATGGGAAAAAGTATCATCTCTACTAAGAATTTTTTTTTTTTTACCCACACCTTTCTACCTCTAGAGATTTGCTCCCAGGATCCCCACTTGTATGGAATGCTCTTCTTGATTAAATCCTGGCCATGCTTCAAGATATAGCTTACATGGTATGTACCTTAGTTATACTATCTCTCCCTACTAACATTTTGTTTGTAATTCTCCTATAGTAACATCAGATTCTATTTCATATCATTATATCATATATACATTTTATTTCTCTGTCCTACATTGTAAGTTCCTTTAAGGTGCTAGACTGTGCCTTATTAATCTTTTTATTTCTCCAAGCCTCTTAGACAGTGTCTTGGACATAGTACATAATTAGTAAGTATTTTGTTCAACCTAGTTCATTGATAGAATTGAATACTTCCTGGAAAATGAGCTCTTGTGTTCTATTTTACATTAATTATTATTTTATTGATATTCTTTACAGTTTTTTCTCCTGCTTTTAACTCGAGTGCCAGAGATTTCTATGTATTTTATTGATATTCTTTACAGTTTTTTTTTCTCCTGCTTTTAACTCAAGTGCCAGAGATTTCTATGGAATCACCTAAACAAGTCATGAAGTTCAAACATGCTCTCATTTTTTTTTCCTTTTTGGAGGGTGTAATACTCCAAATACTTTATGGTAGCAAAAGACCTCAGATACTTTTTTGTTTTTCAAAGACATTGGCAAGTCCAGAATTTCTGTGCCATAACACAGATAGAATTCCAGACTTGCAGCCCTGATAATGAAAATCATTTATAAATTACCAAATGCTACAACCAATTAGCAAGTGTAATAGATATTATTACAAAAAATGCAGTAAAGCTTTTTAGCCAAACAAACCAAAAGAAAGTTTTCTTGAACTTGACAGGCTCAAGAGGCTGCACAAGCTTAATTATAGTTAAAGTAAGGGATGGGGGATGGGGAAGTATTCACAATGCTTCATTTGGGGCTCCATCTGTCTTCTCATTTTGTTCTCACATACTGACACATTTACTAAAAAAACAAGGCACTGAAAGTAAAGCCAGGAGTGTGTGGAGAATTTCAAGCATAATATGAAATCAGTGAAGGCCTATCTCTTTTGTCTTTGTTTTGTTTTGTTTTATTTTTTCTTTCTTTTCAGCTTCTGACTGAATTACTATTCTGGAAATATTGCTCTTGAAGGGTTTAAAAAATTAAGGATATATTTTATTGTGAATGTCAATTGAGGCAAATCTGAAAGTTTATCATGTTTAACAATAGCCTAGTTAGTTATCTTTCTTCTTGAGAATTTGTATAAGTAGGTTGAAGAACGAATTGATCTTATTGGAATAATTATGTTTTCCTACACACAGGCCCCTGTTCACAGACTCAGAGGACAGAGTTGTAATAGCAAGGACAAATTGGAATGGGATCAGGAAGCAACCTTTGGTTTACCTCCTGAAAAATGACTCTAATATGCCTTGGTTGAAAAATGGAGGTTTCTAAAAACAAACAAACAACAAATAAAATAAAAATGTCATGGAGAGTTAAGCAATTGCTTAATGAAGTCAATCACTACAGACAGCCAATCTGAATTTTTCAGCTAGCAAAAATCAGTAACAATATACTCTTTTATTTGTGTTCAAAGAGCCATAAAATCTTAGATTCAGAAGGGATTTTATTATTGTTCCCATTTCAATGGTAAGGTTTTCTTTGGGACCAGATTATTTGGATAATTCTCTACCTGTTCATTCTTCTATTGACAAACCCAATATGCTCTCAAAAGATGTCAATGAAATGAGAAAATAAAGTAATGTGACTGAATTCTTTTAACAAGTATATACTCCAAACAAATAAGACTTGAACGGAATAAATTGGAGATAATCTTATAGGGAAGGCCCTAGCATTAAAAGGAATCAGGAAAGGCTAGAAGCTAGAATTTAGCTGTCAGTCAGCAAACATTTTTAATGCACCAAGTATGTGCTAAACATTGTTCTAACTTCTGGGAATACAAATATGGAAAAGATAGTCCCTGCCCTCAAATACCTTACAGTGTAATGCAAGAAGGTTGCATACAAAAGGAAGCTGAGAAGCAGGGATGAAGGAGAAAAGGTGCCTCAGCAAAGGAGCCTAATGGAGAATTCTGGCAGAGTACAATTCAATGGAACTAGAAGAGATGCATGCCAGCCAGGGCCATTCTCCTTAAATAGAGGCTCTGGCAGTAGCTCCCCATCTGTCAATCAGTGGGGAGGGTGTAAAGGGTGCCAATGACGTATGAGAGAGATGAGGAGGGAGAGAATTTCAAGCTTGTGAGTTAGTCAGTAAAAGTGCCCAGAGTAGGGAAAATGAGTATCTTGTGTCAGGAATGTCAAGGAGGTCAGTGTAACTGGATAAAAGAGTAAATGGAGAATATTTAGTTATAAAAAGATTGAAAGGTAGGAAGGAGTCAGTTTATCATGGGATTTAAAAGTCAAACAGAGAATGTTATATTTGTTCCAAAAGGAAGGAAGTTGCCACTGGAGTTTGTTTATAAATAGGGGCATGATATGGAACCAATATTTTAGGAAAATCAATTTGATTTCTGAGTGGAGGATAGGCAGTAGTAAGGAGAGATTTGAGGCAACCAATAGGCCATTGTAATAACCTGGTGTGTGGTGATAAATCTCACACCAGGGTGATGGTAGCATCAGTAGAGGGAAGGGGGAGCATACAAAACATATTAAAAAGAGAGGAACGGCAAAACTTGGAAATTTATTACAAAGAGGAATTGAGAGAGAATTAAGAGCCAAGTGTGATTTCTTGGTCATGAGCCTGGTTGCCTAGGTGGATGTTGGTGGGGAATTAGGAATAGAGGATGGTTTGGGGGGAATGATAATGAGTTTAGTTTTGGAGATGTTGAGTTTAAGATGATTTCAGGACATCTAGTTCACTATGTCTGGTACGTAGTTGGAGATGTGAGACTGGTGGTCAGGAGAGAGGTTAAGGGTGGATAAATAAATGAAAGTCATTTTCATAGGCATGATCATTGAGTCCATGCGAGTTGATGAGCTCACCAAGCAAAGTTATATAGGGATAGAAAAGAAGAGGACTTGTAACAGACCTTTGGGGAACACCCATAATTTGTTGTCATGACTTAATTGAAAATCTAGAAAAGGAGAATGAGAGTGAATAGTTAGGCACAAGAAGAATCAGGTAAAGCAGTGTCATGAAAACCTGAAGTGAAGAGTATGTCAGGGGGAAGAGGCTGATTGAAAGTATTAAAGCCTGTAGAGAAGTAAAAGATGAGGATTGGGAATGGGCCATTATACACGGCAATTAAGTGATCACTGGTAATTTTGGAGACAGCAGTTTCCATTGATCAATGAAGTTATGTCAGAATTTAGAGAGTTGAGATGTAAGTGAAAGAAAAGAAGTGAAGGCACTGTTTTTGATGGCCTTCTCAAGGAGGTGAGACATGAAAGAGAAAAGAAATATAAGATAATTGTTAACATGAATGGATGGATCAAATGAGTATTTTTTTTTAAATGAGGGAGCAATGTGCTGCTATGTAGTCAGTAGAGAGACAGTCAGTAGACAGAGAGATAGAAGATTAGTAAGAGAATGGGGATGGTAGAGAAGAAAATCTGCTCAAAAAGAGAATGTGATCACCTGGGCATATAAAGGGGTTTGCCCTTGAAAGGGCAATTAGGGAAGTATAAAATGATGGCCTTGTCACAGTGAAGGCTCATATGAGATTATGAACTTATATATAGTATACCTAGTCAGTACCATTTCATGATTTTCATCACCTTTGCTCAGCAGCCTGAGTAGAAGTGAAGCCATTAGAAGAGAATCAAAGCTGAGACTTGTCCCAGAAAGATAGGAGGCAAAGAACTTAAAAGGAGTGGAAACTATGGAGTTGAACTGCTTCATGAAAAAATCAAGCTGCAGAAGTGTAGCTAACATAGGGGTGATGGCCTAGGAAAGAACCAAAGGACTGAGAGATTGGAGGCCATGATGAAGATGAGGGATAAAGTTAAGGGTGGCAAGGCATAGAGAGTGATGGAATAATGACAGATTATGATCTGACAATGGAATTCCAGAGTTCATGAACATAGAAGCAGAATACTTATGGGTGATAGCAAGATCAAGGTCATGACCATGTCTTTGTGAAGGTAAGATAAAGTGAAGGAGTAGGTCATGTGAAAAGAGTAAGCTGATGAGCTGAAAGTTTATGGTTTTGGAGAGAGTATCAATATGTATATTGAAGTCCCCTAGTATGAGGGCAGGAACTGAAGAGGAGATAGATTGAGCCAGACACTGAACTCTTTGAGAAAGGAAGGAGAGAGTCTTGAGGTCAGTAGACAGCTCCTATCAGACTCTTGATGGGGCTTGAGTGAACCTAAGAGAAGGGGAGGTTACTATATAATGGTGGAAGAGGGAGACTCTGGAAGTGGTGATGGAGAATGAGTACTATAGCTCCTCTCCCTTGTATCCCCTCCCACCCAGGTGAGTCAGGAGTATTAGTGGAAGTAAAATAGAAAGGATGGCCAGGAAAGTAATGTCATCAGGAAGGAATCATGTCTCAGTGAGAACAAGTTGGAAAGAGTGACAAAAGAATAATAATAATTAAAAAAGATGAGATCAGACATTCCCAGAGCATAATGGCAGAGGTAGGTAGCTTTAGAGTGGAATGTGGGTGGATAGGGGATGTTGAGGAAGATAGGCATATACTTGGAATATGCATAGCACAGTAGTGCAAAACCTTTATCCTTTGAGGATGAATTTGGGACTAAGCTAGGAAAATAAGGTGTGTGAACAAACTGGGTAAATACAAGTTGGTGGTAAGGATACTGATTCTATTAGGTTGCTCATAAAAATCCTTTGAAAAGGAATTCCAAAAATATTTTATTAATGTCAATATTATTAGACAAAATGTATAACCCAGAAAGATTGCTTTGTAAGCATCAGTACTTATTTGGATATTTAAGTTCTAAGAGATTCTTGGCCTTTCAAATCATCTCCAAACAGAGCAGGAATCTAGGCCTATAAGTCTTGTTACAATTGAGATTGTGAGCTATGACAGCTTATAGTTTATGTAAATGATTATGGCAGTTTGAAAAATAAAGGCACAAAAGATTGACTTCCAAATATGAACAGCCACGAGTGATGCTTTCAAGTTCCTTGTCAATCAAAAGGACATGTAGTCTGGTGCCAGTCAGTTGTCCCTGCCCAACTCTTTGGGGCACACTTGATTGTTCTTTTCCCTGCCTTATTTGTCTGAGGAAACATACCCTAAGCAAGATGCTTGCTAATGAGAATTTGGGTCATAAAAAATGCTAATGTTAGGCTGTGGATTGTCACAAAGGCAATCTTATTGATGTTGTACAAAGTAACAGGCCCTAAGTAAATTGTTATCTGATTCTTGTATTCATTTTTTCCCCTCCACTAAACTACTTACAGCAACTCATATTTCAGATTTGTCGCATAGGAGAACAGGGTAATAGATGGAGGTATGCCAAAATGTAAATTCTCTTGCTCTACAGCAATGCTAAACTGATTCCTACTTTTTAATGTATCAAGTTAACTAGTTTTAACCTCAGTACATATGGAAAATTCAAACTTTTAGAAAGCATTAAGACATGTAATATAGCCTTGCTCTTTAATCCTGAATTTATACATTTTAAAAAGTACCTATAAAATATTCACATACACATACATATATATTATATTTCTCACCTATGTAAATCATAAATATTCATTGATTTTATATATATATATATATATGTACATATATACATATACATATATGGTTTACTTCTCATATGTCATACCTGAAAAAGAAGAATTGTTTATCTTTCCATTTGGGGTGACCATCCTCAATCTTATCGGTAACATCTCAAATGTCCCTTCCTACTCTAAAGTTCCACAACATACTGTATAATATCTTGTCCCTTGTAGTAATGTTTCCAGAGATACAGTGCTGCAAATATCACTATTCTCACACCTGCGTTGGATATTAGATTATTCAGGGAACCTTGTTGAATAAATTTCAGAAGCAGACCCAGAAGTTTCTACAGATATCCTTTCTTATTTCTCTCCCTCCCCTACACTCATTGTCTAAGAGATAATGGAGAGCTACCATGTTCACTCTTTTGATTTAGCACAGATTGCTTCTCTCCAGGTGGGAGAAGAGTTGCACTCCATAAATGTGTTTATTTCTTATTTTAATTTGCCTTAAAATGGACATGAAAGTACTAAGTGAATTGAACATCCTATCCGATACATCACTTCAAACTCTTGTTTCCAAGCTTACTGAAATATTGACCTGCATGAGAGTACTTTTAGATAAATTGACCTAGTAACTTAATTTGTTTACTAAAGATCCTTGATAACATCTTCACCCTCAGTTTAATTATCTTGACTAGGACCCTGACAGGTGTGCATGTCACTCTAACAGTATGTCAGGCCTTCTGGAAACCATGTTAATGATCTCAGGTTTCTAGGATGCCATTTTGTGGACTTTTGGACTGGCTGTTTAATAAATAGAACCCCATGACCTGAAAGCTTTAATGTGCTTCTTTCAGTTTATTACAGATTGCTTCCCTCCAGGTAGAAAGATAGTTGGACTTCATGAATTTGTTCAAATATTCAAATAAGCATTGCCCCCTTCCAAGTACTCAACCCAAAAGGCTATAAATTAGTCAAATGATATTGCCATTAATCCAAACATTTTGAGAATTTCTCTTCGGAGTCTGTTCTGTGAGCCACAAAGGATAATCAGTATCATTTCTGTTTGATTTTCCCTAAATTTTATAAAATAATGATGAAACTAGATGATCATTTCAGTCTGGAGATATAAAGCATCAAAGAATGGAGGATGGAGTGATCCCCAGTGTTTAAGGGTTTTAAGATGACTCTAGTATTGAGATATTTATTTTTCCATCGTTCAGTATTTGATTTGTAGGAAGTCACAGAGCTGAACTTTTTTTATGTGACTGCTTCTTCCTTTCTTCATAAAGAATCATGAATAGTTTTCCAAATACACAAAGTTCAAACATTTAACTAAACAAGAATTTTAATGAGGAAACATTTCCAGCATAGTACATTTGTTCCATTGCTTAGACAATTGACTGAGTGTCAGAGAGACATTCGAATTCCTCTATCTCCTTTGATATACAAGTCCAAGAAAGAGAGTTGAGGACAACAGAGCAAAGTATATAGACAATCCAGCAAATAAAGTTGGACTAGACAAAGAGATATGAACTTGGAGTTGGAAGAGTTGGAGCCCAATCCCAGCTCTGTTGCTTAATAATTGTGTGACCTTGGGCAAAACACTTTACCCTTATAAGCTTCAGTTTCTTTATCCAAAAGATGAGGTGATCTCTGTTGCTGTTGTTTATTTAATCATTTTTCACTTGTGTACAACTCTTTATGATCCCTGTTAGGGTTTTCTTGGCAAAGATACTAGAGGGGTTTGCCATTTTCTTCCCCAGTTCATTTTACAGATGAGAAAACTGAAGCAAACAGGGCTAAGTGACCTGCATAGAACCAGTAAGTGTCTGAAGCTGGATTTGAACTCACCAAGATAAATCTTTGTCACTCCAGGCCCAGTGCTCTATCCACTGATCTACCTAGCAGCCCTTCCAATTCTTAACATTTTCTATTTCAGAAAAAGAATTGCTTGGAGACTAGAGACATGTTTATATCTGTAGGTGGGATTGCAAAATGTGAAGATCACTTTATGATGGGCCTTCTTCCCTGTCTGCTAACTTTGCAAGGGAACTCACCATATTGGCATGCTTCCCTGCTAAGCAGCAACATAACACAGTGGATTTAGAACTTCTCTTGGAATCAGGAACACCTGAATTCAAGTCCTGCCTCAGACACTTAATTAACTGTGAATCTGGGAAAGTCAATTCTTTCACTTTTCAAATGGGAATACCAATAACACTTATGCTGTGGCATCTGATGGGGCCACTGGGGGTTAGAGGTTGTTGAGGATGCAAAAGTTATCCTATAGAAAGGAGGTGCCATCACAGAGCCTTTAAACAACTTGAGAAAGTTAGAGAAGAAGAGTATTTGGATTTGGATTTGGATTGGCATGTGGATGCCAATTTTATTTGACATCCTGAACCACCAGCTGATAGCTGATTCCTTCTCCTTTTCCTGCAGTTGTGCCCATCTTGTCTGGACTTTCCCCTCCTCCACTAAAAAAATGTAGACCAGAACAATGGATCAAATTTTATGTATCTTAATCAATTGTGTGGAATGTCCCTTAGTGACTTGCAACATTTAAAAGCCTGATTTGGAAGCGGTCTATTCAAATTAATCTTTATAAACCCTGTAGGTTTTTGAATCTTCTTATTAAAAAAAATAGCAACAACAGCAACAAAAGATGTTTTATTATAAGTTATATAAACTTGCATTGTGATGGTTAAACTGGATAATTCACTTGATGTGGGAAAACAGTCTAATATCATGAAAATATATTATTTGCATACATTCAGAATTGGCTTCTTAGAAGGGCTCCTTCCTTCCTCCAAGAACCATGTTGTAGAAAGATTTTACTTTGGGACATGAAAGTTGTGAGTGTGGGCATCACAAGTCACTACTTTGATCTACTGTGGTGTCAAGGAATCAGAGAGGGGTGTCCTAGGGGGAACACCCACCATTCTTAAGAGCGACATAATTGAAGAACTAGCAAAGGAGATGGAGAAGAGCAATAGAAAAGCTAAGATGAGAACCAGGTGAGAGAAGTGTTGTGAAAACCCTCAGAACAGAGAATATCCAAGAGGAAAAAGTCATCAACAGTGGCAAAAGCTGTGGAGAGGTCAAGAAGGATTAGGGCTAAGAAAAGACCCTTAGATTTAGCAATTAAGAGATTGCTAGTAACTTTGGAGGCTTAAATTTAATGAGGTCAGAAGCCAAACTGCAGAAGTCTTAGAAGAGAGTCGAAAGAAGCAGAGGCATCAAGTGGTAGACAGATGCTTAAATATCAGTTTTGGGGGTTCACAGTGCCTCTTTCACTACACTGGTAAAAATGATAGAGATGATGGGAAACCTTAGTACAACCCTGAGAGGATGCTAGGCAAACCACCATGCCCTGCAAACAATCAAGGGAACCGTGGCTATACCCCACAGCTAATTCTTACTATGCTGCTCTCTTTTTCCT